TTTTAATTTAATCAAGTCCCATATATTTGTTTTTGTTGTTGCTGTGATTGCCATTGGGGTCGTCTTTGTAAGTTCTTTGCCTAGGTTGTTATCTAGAAGAATTTTTCCAACATTTTCTTCTAGAATTCTTATGGTTTCATACCTCACATTTAAGTCTTTGATCCATCTCGAATTAATTTTTGTGAGTGGTAAGAGATAGGGATCCTGTTTGAATCTTGTACATGTGGCTATCCAATTTTCCCGGTACCATTTATTGAATAAGGGGCCTTGTTTCCCCAGTGTATATTATTGCCTGCTTTGTCAAATGTCAGTTGGCTGTATGTGGATGGTTTTCTATTTGGGTTCTCTGTTCCATTGGTCTATGTCTCTATTTTTGTGCCAAATACCAGGCTGTTTTGTTTACTATCACCTTGTAGTGTAGTTTGAAGTCTGGTAAGGTGATGCCTCCAGATTTGTTCTTTTGCTTAATATTGCTTTGGCTATTCAGGCTCTTTTCTGGTTCCGAATGAAGTGTAGAATTTTTTTTCTAGATCTGTGAAATATGACATTGGTATTTTAGTGGGGATTGCATTGAATCTGTAAATCACTTTGGATAGTATGGACATTTTAACAATGTTGATTCTACCAATCCATGAGCATGATATGTTTATCCATTTGTGTTGTCTGTGATTTCTTTCCTCAGTGTTTCATAGTTCTCGTTGTAGAGATCTTTCACCTCCTTAAGTATATTCCTAGGTATTTTATTGTCTGTGTAGCTGTTGTGAATGATATTGAGTCTTTGATTTGACTCTCAGCTTGACTGTTACTGGTGCATAGGAATGCTACTGATTTGTGTACATTGATTTTGAACCTGAGACTTTGCTGAATTTATTTATCAGTTCCAGGAGACTCTTGGTAGAGCCTTTTGGGGTTTGTTTTATGTCCTGTGAAAGTGTTTTTACATGTATGAATATTCCATAGATTTTTTTGCATTAAATCAATTTGGAATCTCAGAATGAAAACTTACCTCGAAATTGAGACCTACATTCTAGTCTAATCTGTTCTAGTGAACATTCTTTGGGACTTTGGACAAAGTACTTAGTTTGAATTTCATTTAATGTTAATGAGTTTTGCTGTATAATCTTAAATGCCCTTGTCATATAGCTGTAAAAATTCTTTGAAAGAATTATGTATTAGAGGAAATAATTTATAAACAGTCCCATCATTTTCAACATCTAGCTAAAAATTGAGGGATAAATGATTGCTGTCAAATTTCTTGGGTTGATTCTGTCCCAAGTCTTGGGGACTCATATTTAAGTTATCTCCTCCCCAGAATCACCTTCTTTTCTACTTCAGAAAAATCACATACCCATTTTTGTCTCCTTTATGCCTATATGTCCCTACGCAACATTTTTTTCCTCTTGTGTATATAGTGAGGTTAAGATATTATTTTCTTTTAATTTGTTTGCTTGTTTTCTTCTGTGTTCTTTTGTCTTAAATCAGCCATTTTCTTGCTACTTACTGTATGAATACTACTAGTGATGACACTTAGAAAAGCTCATCCATATATTCATCTAGTTGAGGCCATACATATGTTATTTCTGGATTACCAGCTTAATTTCTATACATAAATAACTAAAAAAAAGAAAAACCTTTAAGATTCTAAATTAGCATTTAATATAGCCAGTTGTTTCCACAGAGAGTTGGGTCAAAACCTAGTGTTTTCCTGTGTTTGAAATTAGGTATGTATAAGTTGGGAAACAGTTTGTATTTTAATGTTTAATTTGAATCCTTGGCAATATAACTACATCTGTATGC